CCGGGCTTTTATTTAAGGAAATGCAGTATACTGTTATGATTAAATCACTCACTGTTAAATTGATATTGAGTTGATAAGTTACCCACTGCTCTTCCATAATAATCAACACTATTAACCAATACATCAATACTGCCAATAGCTCCTCCAGTATTATACAATAGACTCATTCCATTGGTAGTATTAACATTAGTTCCATTAATGAATACATCATATGATTGTATACAATCAGCTCCAGCCCAAATTATTAATAATGTATCTGATGATACAGCATCAACATGAAGATAACTGATACGTACTGAATCTATAATGAGAAAAGAAATGTATTAATCTAATTAACTAATAATTTATTAAATTTATAAGCATAAAAAAATAAATTAATACAACAATTGTTATGAGAGAAACAACATCACTCAAAAAGATCTATACAAATAACATAACCTTGTATTTCTCATCATGCTATACAGTAATGATTAATAAGAAACATGGTGCTAACACTGCTGAATTCTATGCTTGCCTTTACAGGTAGGCATGACTACCGTATAGTGGGATTTATTCTATTTTGACGAGTTGATGATTTAAAATAAAACGTCAAATTTTATACCCGTCAAAAATTTTGTACTTTGTGCCGCGTGTATGTGAAGGGCACTATTTGTCAAATTAAAACTCGCTAACCGGGGAAATTTACTGTTTTTGTAAAATTTTTACTCGTCAATAAATCCAGCTATACGGTATATTGGAATGCTAAAACATTGTAGCAGTAGCATAAACATGCTAGGTCAGAACTTATAAAGAAGTAACCTATCTCTTATTTATGAAACCCACTTCACATTAGGTATTGTATTAATTCTACAAATTAGTTTAAGTGCTGTAGTAAAGTTTGGTCATGTGATGTATTACAGAGTACTTATTATATATAGCCATTATTATGAGCTATACATTAATGATTGGTAATGCATCAGTTGAAAATTCCTACGCCAATTTAAAGTATTATTATAATAAAATCTTACTTTTAACATTAAAGGTGATTTGTTGCCTTATACTGGAACCTGTGATGATTAGTGTATCCCTACACTCAAGGGTACTCCCATTTAATGAAGCAGACACATTAACACTTGCAACTGACACCAGTGTACCGTTACCATGAGACTGTAATATGAAACTGAACGGTGCAATATACTGTGGTTGAGTATCTACACTGCTAAAACTGGTTATACTTCTTCCATACGTCCATACTAGTATAGATCCAGTTACATTACATGTGATTTTTAGTTCTCTTTGACAAATAGATACTGCACCATTTGGCAATAGTGCGACTATAAAAAGATATATAAGTCAGTAGGTGCATGGGAGTGATTACCACTGAGGTGATGCAACTATCATTTGAGGTAGGGGCGGATCTAGGATTGAATTTCTGGGGGCCTTAATGATACGAGTGGGGTAATTAGTGGGTGTAGTCATAGATACAGTATACAACCTACAACCAGGCTTGCAGGATCCATAGATATTTCCTGTACTCTAATATCTATGGCAGGATTTTATTTGGAAAGTTAAAATTTGTGGTTTACAAATTGTTTACACAGTCAAGTACTGCAGCTGTTTCACAGTTTACATAGATAAAACTAATTTTATACCGGTTAGGGCTGAGGATATTATTCCCAAAAATGTCCCCATTATTCTATTCCCTTATTCCCAATATATTTGCCTATTATTCCTATTATTATTCCCAAGTATTATAAAAATAAACAAAATAACTATACAAAATTTGTCGCATTTAATGCTCATTATACTGTAACATTATAATGATGCCTCAATTGAGTCTTGTAAAGCACACTCATGGGTATCTTTGAAGGTGTTAGACAAGATTTATTAAGCATTCAGCCACACCTACTGCACAATTTTACAAATTTTGCCCTATTATTCCAGAATTATTCTTTATTCTTTAGACCACCTATTATTCTTTTTTTATTCTGGGAATAAAATCCTCAGGCCTAATACCGGTACTTCACTAGATAAATTTTTAGGCCCTAAATCCGCCCCTGATCACTGAGCTTATGAGGGGCAACCTAGACCCTGGTAAAACAAAGGCTCTAGCTGCGGAAACATAATATTGACCATACTATTTTGTTTTATTCTAGACACTGAATTCAGTGTTAGATCTACCAATAGGAATACCAATACAGGCAATACTATATTACAGCTAGACCTAGTCATGAGTGACAAAGACCGACGGTCTGCCTGACTACAACACACCTGCTGCCTGAGACTGAGTCATATCCATAAACACTAGAAAAAGAAGAAGCATCATATTGTGTCGTGATGTGACTGATGTCCATGCTTTATTGAGCAAATCACAAATTACAGCCATATTTCACAGATAAATGCACGCGCAATTGCGCATTGCGCAAAATCTATTTTCTAAAAAAATTAAAAACTATCCCCCACCCGCCGTCATGGCTATGTTTAGATTATTATCGTACATAGATCTATGGTGTTTTTTTGTTTGTCTAAATAATGCTCTACTTTATTGTATTGTCCAGCTTTGTTCCTTGTAAGTTCTATAGAGCTAGATAAATAATATGCTTCATTATTTACTCCATAGATCTAGCAAAATCATCAGGCACAGTGCTATCATTCAACCAGTCCTCTCCATCATATGATATTGTATGTCCTGGAGATACACTAGTATTCACTTGTATTACCAGTGGAGGTGCTGTTGTATGGAGAATTAACAATGGTGACATTCGTATTATTTTAGCCAGTGATAAAAATAAAACTGATCAGATTGACAGCTTCATCTTAGCCATTACTGATACTAATGCTAATAATACAATAACAAGCACTGCTACTAGTGAGTCTGCTTCATCACAACTTAATGGAACTGTTATTGACTGCTCTGGAGATGGACATCATTACAGTACAATGACAGTACACATTGCAGGTAAGATACATCATGAACCATATGTATCATAATACTGTATCTATGTATCATAATACTGTATCTATGTATAGGCGTACCAGTATCAGTTATTAATATAAAGATAATACCAATTAATAACAATACAGTATTGATGAACTGGTACTATGAAAAGAATGATGAAGTACACTGTATTCAATATTATAATATTACAATAATCAGTGATGATAATATTAATGAACATATGATCAGTAAAGAATCATCAGCAACTATTCCTTCTCTTATTATTGGTATAAATTATTCATTTATTATTATTCCTATTGATACTATTGGAAGAGAAGGACCTCCTTCATCATTAATACAGTATATATGGAATGGTAAGTACTATACACACACACACACACACACACTCATTGTATTTCTTATAGTACCAGCTCAAGTTGTTAATATTAGTTGGGATCAGATATCAACTGATACTATTACGATATGGTGGAATATCAGTGAAGTATGTTAAGATATTATTAACTATCATTATTATTATTAATAGGATGTTACATTACATTATCCTCCAGTACATTACATTGTTAGTGTACACAATATTACTATTAATACAACTGATACTAATGTAACTATTAATGGACTATATCCCAATAATGAATATACTGTATACATAAAACCAGTTAATGCTATTGGAGAGGGACCACTGATTAACATTACAGGTTTGTTTATTATGAACTGATGAGTATAGTGCATTGTGTTTGTAATTCCATATAGTAAACATAACTAAGCTTCGGCATATAAATGACAATACGAATGTATGTATTTCATCAACTCTAGCAACAACTAGTTTAGCTGCATATACTTCATTATCTGGTTAGTATAATAATTAAATAGCAGTGTACTTGAATGTAATTGATCTACATGTATTTTCATTAATACATGCAGTTACTGAAAGATCAGATATCACAAGCACAACATCAAAGATTATTGGAAACACATTTGTAGGAGCAAATTCAAGTAGTATAATGCACTCAACAGTAACAAGTTATGGAACACAGTCAACAGTTATGAGTACTGTAATGCCACCAAATAGTGGATCTATGAATTCAAGCTTATTGTTTTCAATTTTTGGTGCTGTTGGTGCTATAGTAATTACATGTATCATAGCAGTGATTGTAATCCTGACCTGCATTATGTATAGAAGGAAACATAGAAGTAAGTATGAACACCATGTGCTGCCTATGATTAATTACTGTAGGTGTAAAGAAAAAAGAAAGGTGGTGAATTGAATATTATTTATTTATTTATAATAATATTTTTAGGGATATAAATGATAACACAGAAGTTGAGGTAAATTTAAATTTTTATTTTACACATTGATACTTTTATTTTAGCTGAGGAGCACAAACAATCCACAACCAACTGGATTGGAGTTGTATGCAATATCAACTGCTGGAGGACATTCTATAGAAAGTAAGAATGTATGCATATGTATTTGAGAAAATTGCATGGTAGAAGAGGAATGGGTGAGGTATATGTTTATTGATAGTTCATAAAAGTAGAACAATAACTGTCTCACAATGTAGGGTCAGGAATATCATTAACATGCTACATGTATATTGTGTATATCGTACTGGGCATTGTTTTTAGGTCAGTACAGTGTCATTAGGAAAGGTGATATAATGGAATATGAAGAAGTACCTCCACCAATACCTCCTCAATACAATTACAATGAAGTAATTATCATTATAATGTATGCATGTTAATATTAATAATAATAATAATAATTAATAGATAAATGATGAACAGAATGGACAGAGTCCCATCTACTCTACAGTCAATACAAATCAAGTGAGTTTGCTGTTGTATATGATGTATTTGTCTATATATGTTTCTGCTTATATAAGTAAGCCTAGATCAATGACTTTAAATGTAAATACAATAATATACCGTATAGCTAAAAATTTTTGTGGCCCAAAATTTCTGCTAATTTTGCGGATTTGGAAAAAATTGCAAAAAATTAGTCCTCAAAATTTTGGTACACAATTTATTGGCCTGTTTAAATTAAAAGGTAAGGTGAATTTGCAAAAATGAAATCTGCAAAAGCCATTTTGATGGCAATTTGCAAAATATTTGGGCCACAGAAATTTCTAGCTATATGGCATATATTAATTACAGGTTAATAATGACAGAGAAGGTTCTGTTTATTCCACAGTAAATCAAGTACCAGTCAGTGAAAATATGTGATGCATGCATGTATAAGAGTTTTGGGAAATCAAAACTGAGTTCATAGCTTAACTATAGCTCATAATGATAATACTATAAGAAGATTAATGTATTATATGCTCTCGTATACTCTAATTTGGGAATAGTTTCATTGTTTTCTCAAGAAAGCATTCAAAAGCATTGATGTACAAAATAATGCGTAAATTGGGACTTACAATTGGAAAATAATGAAAGTGTCATTATGGAAAAAATTATAATTACACAGTGTATATTGTTAGGTTGAATCAGCTAATAAGGTCCTGCTTTATGCTGATTTAATGATAGTCCCTAAGGACAGTAGGCCACAGTGTCCACCCACTAGTGTTCAACCAGTAACATATGCAGTAATATAACAGTAAGTATACCATAATGTACATGTATGTAAATATAATAGTTTAATGTATGTCTCTTTTTTTTATAGTTGAAATTCCTTGGTGGTTCCAGGTTACAATATTTGCTGTGACATAAACTTCTTTATAATAATGTGTTTTTAATTATTTTTAAACTCATTGTGTAGTATGTGTGAGTCTGTGTTCATTACTATTGAACTATTTTTATTCTTTGATATATCACTATTACTATAACAATCAGTCTACACTATACAATCATCATTCCATGGTCATTATGTTAACTGCTAAACCAACCATTCCACGAACAGGGCTTCCAGTTATTTTTCAAATAATTCTAGGAATGCTTAGTGCTTTGAGTTCTTGGAACAATACTGGTCTTTTGTGGGTAAGCTCACTAACAGAACTGTTGATAGTATAAGCTATACATTATTCATAATCATGGAGTAATGAATAGAACTATAGTATGCGACAAAGGAATAACTATAACTACATGTATGGGTGTGTCACAGCTCACAAGTGTGTGTGTGTGTGTGTGTGTGTGTGTGTGTGTGTGTGTGTGTGTGTGGTTGATATTCAAAGATGATTATCGTTTTCTTAATTTTGTTGTCAAGTAGAGTCAATGGTAAGTGGTTTCATCAATAATCATTAGTTATCTTATGCAGTATCATCAGGTACAGTGCTATCATTCAATCAGTCCTCTCCATCATATGATATTGTATGTCCTGGAGATACACTAGTATTCACTTGTATTACTAGTGGAGGTGCTATTGTATGGAGAATTAATAATGGTGACATTCGTATTATTTTAGCCAGTGATAAAAATAAAACTGATCAGATTGACAGCTTCATCTTAGCCATTACTGATACTAATGCTAATAATACAATAACAAGTACTGCTACTAGTGAGTCTGTTCCATCACAACTTAATGGAACTGTTATTGACTGCTCTGGAGATGGATATCATTACAGTACATTAACAGTACATATTGCAGGTAAGATACATCATGAACCATATGTATCATAATACTGTATCTATGTATAGGTGTACCAGTATCAGTTATTAATATAAAGATAATACCAATTAATAACAATACAGTATTGATGAACTGGTACTATGAAAAGAATGATGAAGTACACTGTATTCAATATTA